TCTGTTGCATACAGAAGTAAGAGAGCTTATTAACCTGAGACCTGATCTGTTGCATTAAAAAGTGAAAGAGCTTATTTACATTTTTTTACAATTGGAAAGAATGTTGAAAAGTTAATGTATTTAAGACATTAAAAAAATTCCACATTTTTAACAGCAGATATTGAAAAAACTTTTATCAAATGAAACTTTAAATTTACTCATCAAGTACATCAACATTAGACTTTATCATTGAAGTATATTTTGATAGAGCAGCTTGATCTGATCCTAACCTCTATGTACTGTAAAGGTATATATATTTTAGAGGTAATATTATTTTATTGGTTTCCATGCTGAAAGCAAAGTGTTTAAATATGATTGCAGTGCCTGTATACTACTTATAGAGGAATAATTGTGGGTGCACATTTATCATTGCTCAAAGTTAACAAAAAATTATTTTGGGTGAAATTTACGAAAGTACATTTACAGTATCTAATGAAGAACAGTCCTGAAGACTTCCACTGTCTGTTTGTCAATGGAATGTGATGCGAGAATCGGGGTCTTGATATTATCATAAAAAATTACCCTTGACTAGTGAGAATGATAATGTGGACTTATAAACAGTAATGGCTGTCAGCATATCCAACATTGTTCAAGGGTAATCATGTGTAATGATATAGGTTTATATAATGTTTAACCTAAAGCCATGCTTTAACCTGTGTGTTACCTTGTAGGCAATGCACTGACTTTAATTAATTAAATTCCTGAACAATGAGCCTGTCCCAGGTGTATCATACTACATATCATAATGACACATTGTAAAATTATTTGTACCAATGTTCTAAGATGTTATCATTTTATTTAATTTAGAAAATTTAATACAGAACCAAACTATAAATTACTGTATATATAACAAGCATGCATCAGGAATGTATATATAGAACATGCAGGATACTTTAAATGTCTTCTCTTTCAACAACCAAGATATATTATTCTTCATATTAAAAATCTATATATACTTTTGATATAAAATTAAATCATTACTATATTTGGAAAGTAATTAGAAATATTTGTGGCAACTAGCTGCTTCATAACTCCTAACTTTCAGTAATATAAATGTGCAAGAAAAGAGTTATGTACTTGAATTTCTGTTTATGCTGATAAGTTTGAAAGGGGAGATAACTCCATCAAGGAACCAAGACTTATTTGTTAGCTTGGTTTATCACCTCGTGAACAACCAAGGTCATTTTGAGATGGGGTTACCCTTGACTAGTGAGAATGATAATGTGGACTTATAAACAGTAATGGCTGTCAGCATATCCAACATTGTTCAAAATCATGTGTAATGATATAGGTTTATATAATGTTTAACCTAAAGCCATCTTTAACCTGTGTGTTACCTTGTAGGCAATGCACTGACTTTAATTAATTAAATTCCTGAACAATGAGCCTGTCCCAGGTGTATCATACTACATATCATAATGACACATTGTAAAATTATTTGTACCAATGTTCTAAGATGTTATCATTTTATTTAATTTAGAACAGATTTAATACAGAACCAAACTATAAATTACTGTATATATAACAAGCATGCATCAGGAATGTATATATAGAACATGCAGGATACTTTAAATGTCTTCTCTTTCAACAACCAAGATATATTATTCTTCATATTAAAAATCTATATCCTTTACTTTTGATATAAAATTAAATCATTACTATATTTGGAAAGTAATTAGAAATATTTGTGGCAACTAGCTGCTTCATAACTCCTAACTTTCAGTAATATAAATGTGCAAGAAAAGAGTTATGTACTTGAATTTCTGTTTATGCTGATAAGTTTGAAAGGGGAGATAACTCCATCAAGGAACCAAGACTTATTTGTTAGCTTGGTTTATCACCTCGTGAACAACCAAGGTCATTTTGAGATGGGGTCTCCTTGTCGTAGCTGGTGGCTACCTCACTAATCAACATATGGGAGGCCTATCACATGCCATTCAAAAGATTTTGGGTAAAGTATCTTGCTAAACCAAACCATCTTTCAGCATTATAGACTAGTCCGTCTTTCTTGCTCAGCTTCCCAAGAAACAAAAACCTTTGTGGATAGGGAAGGTGGCATCATGCACCTCGAATCTCTACCTGAGGTTACATAGGTCAACTGTCTTACCTGCTGAGGTATCTTGGCCTCTAGAGGGCCAAGGAGTATTTATGAAAAGTAGCTATAATATAGCATAACCTCTGAGATATTCTGGTGTGTTCTAAAACTGTTACAAGCTAATATACATGGATTTTCTTGCCTTTGCAGATATCTAAAACTGACCCTAAGGTCTTTTAAGGTTCTCCATACAAATTATTGCTAGCGCAGCCAAATGCTATATTGTGATAATGTGTCACTGATGTCAGAAAAGTCCCCAGAATCACTCAAGGGGAAGGATACACCATTTCATCATTGGATAAATCTGTCTACATAAGTGTAGTATAGGAGTTTAACATTGAGGATATGTATATAGATATTGTGCTTATATTTAGGGATACATCTAGAATAGGATTTTAAAAATAAAGGATGTCTGGGGCTGATGTCCACAGAGGTCCATGATTAGGGATAACTGGGGCTGATGTCCACAGAGGTCCATGATTAGGGATAACTGGGGCTGATGTCCACAGAGGTCCATGATTAGGGATAACTGGGGCTGATGTCCACAGAGGTCCATGATAAGGGATGTCTGGGGCTGATGTCCACAGAGGTCCATGATTAGGGATGTCTGGGGCTGATGTCAACAGAGGTCCATGATAAGGGATGTCTGGGGCTGATGTCCACAGAGGTCCATGATTAGGGATGTCTGGGGCTGATGTCAACAGAGGTCCATGATAAGGGATGTCTGGGGCTGATGTCGACAGGAGTCCATGATAAGGGATGTCTGGGGCTGATGTCAACAGAGGTCCATGATTAGGGATAACTAGGGTTGATGTCGACAGGAGTCCATGATAAGGGATGTCTGGGGCTGATGTCCACAGAGGTCCATGATTAGGGATGTCTGGGGCTGATGTCAACAGAGGTCCATGATTAGGGATATCTAGGGTTGATGTCGACAGGAGTCCATGATAAGGGATGTCTGGGGTTGATGTCAACAGAGGTCCATGGTTAGGGATATCTAGGGTTGATGTCAACAGGAGTCCATGATAAGGGATGTCTGGGGTTGATGTCCACAGAGGTCCATGATTAGGGATAACTGGGGCTGATGTCCACAGAGGTCCATGATTAGGGATAACTGGGGCTGATGTCCACAGAGGTCCATGATTAGGGATAACTAGGGTTGATGTCCACAGAGGTCCATGATGAGGGTTGTCTGGGACTGATGTCCACAGATGTCCACCATTAGGGATGTCTGGGGTTGATGTCCACAGAGGTGCTTGATTATGGATATCTTGGGTTGATGTCCACAGAGGTCCATGGTTAGGGATGTCTAGGGTTGATGTCCACAGAGGTCCATGGTTAGGGATGTCTAGGGCTGATGTCCACAGAGGTCCATGGTTAGGGATGTCTAGAGTAGATTTTGTGTTTACACCATAGAATATGTAGATTCAAGAGTTTCTTAAACCATAGAAATTGCATTGAAGAAATAGTTATAGATTTTGAGGTCAAGCCTAACTGGTTTGATCAGGATATTTTACACCGAGTAAAATCAGTGTTAGAGTTTCAGAAATATTGTATATGTGTGTTGTTTAGGGAGTAGGAGGCTTACACAGAGTTATCTAACAAACCTATGTTAAATATTGATATTATCTGTGAGGAATTCCGATTTATCAGTCACTCACTGTGGTGACTTGATAGGAAGGAGATTCATCATGGCAAGTGTCAGTCTATCCACCAGTATGTACAACATTCTTATCTCCAAAGCCAACATCATTTATACTCATTCCTCTGTACATCTAGCTGAATCCATACCAAGGAATAGAAAAATAGAAAAATGTTGTTTTCAACTTTTCAAAACTTATGAAAATATGCCTGTTTTGTATTATCTACATTACGTATGTACCTTAAAAATATGCATATCTTTCTTGACTTGTTTTGTAAATATAGTGGATTTTCTGCAGTAATTGTGTTTAGGTAAAAGTCAATAGTTAAGTTGTGATCCTTGGTGTAGCACACAATAAATATTCAATCCCATAAAACCTTGACTATCTTATATAAATAACTCCTGTTAGTTCTGATGGAAGCACAGAGATAACCTCGAAGTATGATGAAACTACTCTAAAAAACCGCCAATGGCTGGGCGGGTGATGAAATCATTAACAGTTTTATAGGTGGTCAGAGAATCAATGTTTGATATTGGTAGTTTATGAGTAAGGTTGTGGTTCTTTTATGTCCACGGAGATTGTGTTGTCGGGTAAATATTGCTGTATCACCTATAATGACTTAAAATATCAACCCTTTAGGATTAACGAAGATGATAATGCACTTATGAAAGGGTCTATTCAAAAAGAAAATTATGGTGACATAGTTAAAACCTGTAATGACGATAATTTCAGACCAGATATTGAATTAAACTCCATTTGAAACCTCAAAATTAAATGTGTATGAAAAATATCCTTATAATTATTTACATACACGAATGACAGAAAGGCGTGTTTTTCTATTGCTTTTTGATCAAAGTACATATACATAAGTACAGAAATACGATACTGTTTAGTATTTTTATTAACATTCCTCAGAGACAGTTAGTTTCCCTGTGAAGGGGGCGTGATTGTTGTAAATTAACATTATGCAATAACATATGACAGCAATATAATGTACTATCATTATTATATCTTAACAAAAGACCTCGTCCTGCGAAGGTCTACTTGACTGGATTGTCACCTTTGTACATGGCACGGTTATTAATCACGATATCGGGAAGTTAAGAATGGCCACAGGATTTGGCGGTTAATTCTTCACATTCCAAACATTTAATAATTAGCGGGGTTGTTCGGTAGAGCGTGTCCATCGTCGTTACATCAGATAACAGTCTTTGTATGTGGATATATATGTATGATACACCTTGTGTATATACACAATACAACGAAGCAACGTTCGGGGAACACGATAAAAATGGAGTTAGCTGTAGATAGATAGTGGCATTTTACTCGGATATAACTACCTCACCGGAAAAATCAAATCACTTTGTTAATAGTTCATATTCAGCAAGATTGGATTTTATAATTTGTGTCAAACCTTGGAGTATTCTATAACAATGGAGTGTTTAGTTAGTAAAGAATTTCTGGTATAGGTGCGGATCATTGTGCCAAGGAATATAGATCTTGAACTATATTGTGTTATAAATGAGAATTGGTGGATTTAATTAAAACATCTGTGATTATATTAGTAACAGTATGGTTTTAACACAGCAGACTCACAGTAGTGGAGATGTGTCTCCTACCTATGCCAACATGGATGAAATTCAAGGTATAAATACTTGTGTATTGTCATGAATTATGTCTTTTAAAGATCATTTATTTCTGCTTCTAATGCTGTTTGTGAAAAATGTCATTCTTTATTTTGATTTATCATCTTAAGAAATCAGTTTTGGATAAGGTGAACGGAATGTTTTTCCATGTCCATGAGGTATATCTATAAGTATAATTGTCACACTTTGTGAATGGGACATTTTCCCGGTGTTTTGTACATACTACATTCCACGTTTATCGTGATGAATTGGTACAGGTAAATGCCTTAGTTGGAGACTTTTAGCCTACAGGAAACATTCCTAACACTAGCTGATGGCCTCATTAGTATATTTACACAGGTGAAAGTCATTCTGCATTGTCAAAATATAGCTATTAGGCAAAACATGATATCCTGGTATATTTCATTAGCTCAGGTAAGAATTGTTTTATTTCAAAGAATGCCTTTGGGCAGCTATACAAATACATGTGATATGATATATTACTGGTAGGAAGGCAGCACATGGCCAAGTTTGTAGGGCTCGTTAGTATCACAGGTAACATTAGTTTACCTGAACAGTGTGATATCATGCTTTCCCTACACAACCCACATAATGGCATTCCATGGTAAGATGCTTCAGGAAATATTTGACTGACAATAATGGACCTATATTATAATAAATTTGTCATATTAAAGGAAATCTATTATCCAATATTGACCATGTGTCAAATCTATGAAAATTGCAAGGCAGTTAAAGTGAAGCTGATATAACATTAATAACAACGTAATTTACAGGTAAATTTTAAAACATTCTTATTTCTGTATGTCCGTTGAATAATATTATAGGCCCTAACTTTTGATGATATAGTGAAGTTAGCTCCCTCGACTTCTTTGTTAAGTTAGGATTTATCTTTCACAATGAGATTTACAATAATATGTTTACACACATCAATAGTATTTTTTTTCTCATCATATATCTTTATCCATTCAATAAAAACCAACACCAAAATTGAAAATAGCAAGATTTACAAAACATTGATGATGTTATATAGTTATTTATAGATAGCTTTCTTTCTAAATGATACAACATGTCTTATCAAAAATAGTTCATATCAAATCCTTAACATTTCAAGTTTAATGGAGATGAAAATAAAAGAAAACCTGTATTTTTGTTATAATTATTTCAGTTCAGACAGAAGAGTAAAACTATGATATTAAATTTGTTTTGAAACAGACACATGTCTATGATTATGAAACAGACACATGTCTATGATTATGAAACAGACACATGTCTATGATTATGAAACAGACACATGTCTATGATTATGAAACAGACACATGTCTATGATTATGAAACAGACACATGTCTATGATTATGAAACAGACACATGTCTATGATTATGAAACAGACACATGTCTATGATTATGAAACAGACACATGTCTATGATTATGAAACAGACACATGTCTATGATTATGAAACAGACACATGTCTATGATTATGAAACAGACACATGTCTATGATTATGAAACAGACACATGTCTATGATTATGAAACAGACACATGTCTATGATTATGAAACAGACACATGTCTATGATTATGAAACAGACACATGTCTATGATTATGAAACAGACACATGTCTATGATTATGAAACAGACACATGTCTATGATTATGAAACAGACACATGTCTATGATTATGAAACAGACACATGTCTATGATTATGAAACAGACACATGTCTATGATTATGAAACAGACACATGTCTATGATTATGAAACAGACACATGTCTATGATTATGAAACAGACACATGTCTATGATTATGAAACAGACACATGTCTATGATTATGAAACAGACACATGTCTATGATTATGAAACAGACACATGTCTATGATTATGAAACAGACACATGTCTATGATTATGAAACAGACACATGTCTATGATTATGAAACAGACACATGTCTATGATTATGAAACAGACACATGTCTATGATTATGAAACAGACACATGTCTATGATTATGAAACAGACACATGTCTATGATTATGAAACAGACACATGTCTATGATTATGAAACAGACACATGTCTATGATTATGAAACAGACACATGTCTATGATTATGAAAAGGTGATGATTCATTTTTATATAGCTCTACAGGTATGCTGACTTGTTAACTAATACTTAACATTCATCGCACAAACACCTGCATAACTACTGATAACATAAAAAAGAAGACATTTAATTTCAGAATTCTGAATATTTGACAGTAATAATGTGTGTGTGTTAGTTATCTGTAAAGTCGGCATCTCTGATAAGAAAAAGCAATTCTAGATCTTGGAATGTTGGAAGATAAAAATATTTTCATTTGACTGTTTTCTTGTTACAAACTTCTGATCTTTCAATTGATGAATAAGAAAATGATGTGAATTTATTGCTTACATGACGATACAAAAGTAATAACACTTTCACATAAATATATAACTATTCTCAGTAAATTGTCATTGTTATTGTTAATTTAGTTTCCAATATTTTTAGATGATTGTTGATCAACAGGAGAATTTATTTAAAAGTTTTATAATTTTTTATGATGAGATTAATGTCTGTATGTCTGAAGTATATTTACTGTATAGAGGTCTACAGAGCACTGTACGACAACATGTAACTACTTATCAATAGACCATCAGAACTTCCTTGTCTACTTAACGACAAAATTGTAAATCACCCTTTATTTCCTTGTGACTTAAAAGGGAATTGTGTACACGTGCTGTTTTTTGTTTTGTCTTGTTTTTGTAAATTTAGCAGCTATTTTTAATTTGAGAAAAAAAATTCTACTTTATAGATATATGTGAATTGTGTTTAATCCAATAACTACCAGCCAGAAAAAAATTAAATTATCTGAATAAATTAAAGAATTAAGCACAATAATTTAATTTTTAAAAAATCTGAAAAAAATCATCATCGATCATTACTTAATTGACAACTGTCCAATAAGTTATAAAAAACGTAATAAAATTAAACTGAAAACAAATTATTTAAATGATAAAAAATATCAAAGGATTTGGATGAAATTATGTTAATCATGTTTTACATAATAGTCTTAGAAAAAATGGTTTGAAGATATCAAGAAACTGAGCTTGTAAAATAATGTGATTTTTAACATCTTAATATTATACTATATAATTCTCAGGAAAGATTGGTATGTATAACAGGTATCAATTATGTCAAATTTGAAATATGTAATTTCAAAATCAAGTTTTATCCTGTTATCAAATCACCAAGTATTTACTGTGGCTTCAATAACAGAGCTTTTGTTATGTTTGGAATGTGTAGATGAATACATTTTCGGCTATGCCCCAGGGGTTCATACATGTTACACACTAGTGCTAATACAACCCATTTCTTATAAAGCATTGTCAGCTTGATGGTCACAAAAAAAGGAAATCATTGATATATATATGTATGTCAAAATGTTACTCGATACAAAAATGTATTTTTCATCATTTTGTGATGAATTAGTATTATGTTAATAATTGAGATGTTTAAAAGTGTACATATGCTTAGGGAAGTGGTTGATTTGTTTACTGAGAGTACAGCCCAACCATGCTAATCTGAGAGTTACATACCAATGTGCCTGCTAGGTGGGAAGGTATGTGCTAGCCGGCTTAGATCTCATTATACACAGCCCCTGTACAGTCATCCAAAGGGGAGAGAAACTCTTTGTGTTGTTTTCGTGGAAATTTTAACTCAACAAACCTTAGCTTTGCTGATCAACTTATTTATTGATCTCCATGTTTGTTGGTAAGTGTCAATTTCTGATGATTTGTAATGATTTCTATTGTTGATTTGTATGAATAGATGTGTGAAAATCGTTCTGTTATTAGTCTATAAATATCTATACAGTCAGGCAACAGGTATGCCAAGTGTTATGGAGCATGTGGAAGGCTTGCCAAAATATTGTTGTATATTTCTATGCACTAAATTCATGTTTATACCTTCTGAGTGTAGGAACTGGTGTCAAATATAAATGTATATTTTGAACAGTGAGGTCAACATCTTTTTCTCAACTTTTTTAATGTATGTTAGAAATCATGTGATGATAGAGATTTCAGAATGTCTCATTATGATCTGCGTCTAAAGTTGCTCCGGTGATTTCTGTTTTCAAGATGTATGTAAGGGACAAATGACGACTTAATGTTCCCTGTAAATTAAACCTTACATATATGTACATGATTCACTGATGCAGTGCCACCTGATATGACAGTTATGGGTGCTGTAGGTAATTAATTACTTACATGATGGTCATGAAATTTGGATATTCATTCTTATATCATTGATGTTAACAATTTTCCACAATGTCATTGTTTATATAGTTTATAGAGATACTTGTGTCATTGTAATTGAGTGTATATACTTCTCTTAGAGGTAAGAGTCGAAAGAATTTTTTTAAATATGTCCTAATCGCAGTGCTGACACACATATATATTTTGCTGTATACTACTGTCAGAATGGGATTCATACTTGATCAGGCATTGAAGACAGCGGAAATGGTTTTTACGTGTAAATTCAATTAGAACCCTGATAAGACTATTAGAGCGATGTAGCTGCTTTAGGTGGCTGTAAACATTCCACAAATATCTGTTTTGGGCGCTGTGGAGAGAGATCCTGTGTGTAGCGGCTAAAATTAACCGGCTATATGGTTAACAGGCAGACGGTGCTGTTATTAATATGGCTACCATGTGTTCTGTTTTTTCTCGCAATGACGCAGTTTGTAATAATCTGTTTTGTAACCCTCATTTTAGAAGAAGTGTGTAATTGGTGGCGATATTGCAGTAGTAAATGTAAATTCCATTGATGTGGAGAATTGTTTTACCTTTTGTTTTATCTCATGTCACCAGTGAAATTATCAAACATAGTCTCACCTAATAGGTATAATAGAAGCACAAAGATTAATGAATTTATTTCATATTTCTTAAATCAATAGTGTCATTATAATTAAAAAATAAAATAGAATTAAAAAAAAATAGAATTGAAAAAAATCAGGTTTGAAGAAAGCATTTTGTAACAAATCTAATATAGCATATACTTTAAAATTGATGATCTGAGTGTTTCAGAATAAATTTCATGCAATATCTTAATAGTCTGTATTTGTTCAGTTACACACTAAAAATGTAAGAAGACTTTCTACAAACCAGATAGAGTAATTTGCAGGCTGTAGCTAGGACTAAATAAAAAACATTAAGTATAAGTATCAGACCTTATTTTCCAATAACAAGCTCTAGTTTACCTCCCATCTTCAAGTCACAGGTTTGGTGTATAAGCTCCCTGGACATACTGCAGCCTCAGTACAAATACCAGGTATATAATTGTAATATATTCTTGTTTTGTACATGTCAGTATATACTAACCATATATTTATTTGTGTTTTGTAGACTTGCTGAAGGCCTATTCAAGTGATGAATACTTGGTAGTTACGGAGGCTGACCAAGGCTTGATAATGCAGTCCCAATATCGGGATCCTCCCCCATACCCTGGGCACAGCAAACAAATGGGCCAGCCCAGTAAGTTTATCTATATCCTAGCTTTACAGAAATGTTATAATATAGCTACTGTTGTAATGGACCAGCCTTTATAGAAATGTTATAATATAGCTACTGTTGTAATGGGCCAGCCTTTACAGAAATGTTATAATATAGCTACTGTTGTAATGGACCAGCCCAGTAAGTTTATCTGTATCCTAGCTTTACAGAAATGTTATAATATAGCTACTGTTGTAATGGACCAGCCCAGTAAGTTTATCTGTATCCTAGCTTTACAGAAATGTTATAATATAGCTACTGTTGTAATGGGCCAGCCCAGTAAGTTTATCTGTATCCTAGCTTTACAGAAATGTTATAATATAGCTACTGTTGTAATGGGCCAGCCCAGTAAGTTTATCTGTATCCTAGCTTTACAGAAATGTTATAATATAGCTACTGTTGTAATGGGCCAGCCTTTACAGAAATGTTATAATATAGCTACTGTTGTAATGGGCCAGCCCAGTAAGTTTATCTGTATCCTAGCTTTACAGAAATGTTATAATATAGCTACTGTTGTAATGGGCCAGCCCCGTAAGTTTATCTGTATCCTAGCTTTACAGAAATGTTATAATATAGCTACTGTTGTAAAGGACCAGCCTTTATAGAAATGTTATAATATAGCTACTGTTGTAATGGGCCAGCCTTTACAGAAATGTTATAATATAGCTACTGTTGTAATGGGCCAGCCCAGTAAGTTTATCTGTATCCTAGCTTTACAGAAATGTTATAATATAGCTACTGTTGTAATGGGCCAGCCCCGTAAGTTTATCTGTATCCTAGCTTTACAGAAATGTTATAATATAGCTACTGTTGTAATGGGCCAGCCTTTACAGAAATGTTATAATATAGCTACTGTTGTAATGGGCCAGCCCAGTAAGTTTATCTGTATCCTAGCTTTACAGAAATGTTATGATATAGCTACTGTTGTAATGATTTTGCTGCCTCATCAGTCCAATAGATCTGGGGCTGAATTGATTTGTGCAGTCATAAAATTACAGTTATACAACAATTCTAAAACTTACCATACAAACATCAATTAAAGTTGAAAAAGTTATAAACAAACACTGAAATGGTATTTATTTCTAATAGTGACGCATGTAGATATCGGGCTTGTAACTTGAATACTACATATAAATACTTCCAGATAATGCTCTCCCTGAGACAAACACTTTCAACAGACATAATAGTGTTATACAGAATGATCGATTTGTTAGTCTAGTGTCAGATACATTTCCCATACTGTCACTTTAAAATATATGCCTTAGTGATATGTATCACAAAACCACATCCCTTGCTGTGAGCATTAACATTTGCAAAGCAGATTTGACACTTCCGGGGGGATCCTACAATGTGGTAGTGATTTAATATCTGATATTTCCGGTAAGTTATACTTTAAAAGGTGTTCTATTGTGCTGATTTTTTAGAACTAGAACCAGTAAAACGTTAAAAGCATGATGTAAAAATTGAATGAAATTCCCAAGCAAAGTTAAAATGTTTTATGGTAGACAATAGTACAGTGCATCTTGTGTCAAGGTTTAAAATAAATATAACTAGTGAATGGTAAAAGTGCATGTCATGATGGACAGATCTCATTATTTAACATTTTATTTTGTTTAGATCTTCGTCAGAGTTTCTCTGGGAGTGAGACGAGTACGGATGTTTCGGTTTCGTCCATGGAGAACTTGTCATCATCACAGCGTCAGGAACCTCAAGGGGAGGAAACTGTCACTCCCTCCTACCACCACCACACGGAGTGCAGCGAGGAATACAGCATCATGGCCCGCCTCGCTCAGGACTCAAAATCACAACAGAGTAGTGTCCCTTATTATGGACAGGTACCTCATCCCACAGATAACCGGGGTTACCTTAATAGTGGTCCGTTCTACCCCTGGACGCAACACGCCAACCTCCTGCCCCAGGGGCAGAAAGTTGGGGACAGTGGGATGGGAGGTAAAGACTATGGGGATTCACATATGTGTTCAATATCTGCTGCTAATACAGACTGGGCGTTCACGGGATCTAATCCACAACAAACGTCAAATTTACAGGCAGCATATTTTACAACATTAACGCCTCCACCACAGTACCCAGGAGCAAACGGATTGTACGAAAATATGGACAGAACAAAAATGAAAAGGTCATATGAGACTGTTGAATCAGTGGAAATAAAGTCATGTCATTCTCAGCCGGATCTTCACAGATACTGGGAATCTCACAGTCCTGAAGTATTAGCCGCACAACTCAACCCACAGCAACCGCCTTTCCAAAGACAAAGGTATACATCTTTATTTACCTGGTGAACATACTTTCCACATGACCTGATCAACAATATGACTGGGTGGTCACAGCAGCTAAATTCACAGTTGTTAGTAATTCTACTGAACACCAAAATATATATGGATGGGCTTATTACTGGGCAATGGACTTATTGTGGAATGAATACTTATAAACAAATAATAATATAATAAATATTTCTGAACAAAATATACTAATAATGTGTAGCTTTTAAGGACATAGAAATTTAATATGCTGTTTTTGTCTTTTAGTTCACCTGCAGCACATGAGTTAAACCCTCTTCGAACAACAGACATGGTTGAAATACTGACAGAAGAAAACAAAAGATTACGAGAAGATATTAATATTTATTGTAAAAAAGTCTCTAAACTTCAAAAGGTGAGTCATTTTTGCATAAGTTGTGTAGGTAAATTGAATTTTAACAAAAAGCAATCTATCTTTAATAGCCATAATTTTACATTCAAAATTAGACTTTTTTATTTCATTACTTGTTAAAATGATGCTTTTTTTTTTTACTTTTTAAAGATTTAGTAGTTTTAAAAAACCCAGTGTAAACAGGTATGATTCCTTAAAACACAAAATATGGGTACCATGCTTTAATGATCTATTTTCTGATGTTATAATGGGCTCTCTGCTAACAGTTTGAGATGGAAATCCAAAAAGTTCATGAGGCATACGAGTCATTAGTCCAGTCATCACAGAAGAGAGAGAAACTAGAAAAAATGATGAAAAAACGACTTGAAGAGCAAATAAGGAAATTACTCTCGCAGAACAAGACAATGAAAGGTGAGCAGTTCATTTGGATGATGGATTAAAACATTAAGATTTTTTCTAAAGCTGAAAAAATAACTTGAAATAATGTGTGAATGATATATCCACACACCTGCCTAATTTGCATAGATATTTGGTGACAGCTTTCAGGTATGTGATTGACAGGCTTAAATTCTATACCTTAAAATCTATTTCTCCCTGACATTCTAAAATCATATGACCCACTCTTTGAATAGGCTTATTCCAAGTTTGTTTCTAGGGTTACAAGGTATTTATTTGGAATATATTTTATCATGTACAGTATAGATGACAATACAAGTGAGGGGATGAGCGTAACACTAGATCACAGGTGTTGTTAATTTGCATGCTTTTCATCAAATATTGATCTCCTTCAAGCTTTTTATTATGTATATAGTTTCCTCCTTGTAGTTCAGGTCTGTAAATAGATAACTGTTATTAAATGATTTATAATCAGCTTCTCTGTAATAGTGAATATAACAATGATCTATAGGAAACACGTCCCAATGAAATCAGACGAAAATGGAACAAAAATTCCCCAAAACAGAGGAAAAGGAAATGGAGTTTAAAAGGCGGAATTTTATTTGCAAAGGAAATTATGAATTAGGTAGAGTAACAGAACATTGAATTGGGGAGGAATGTCTTGTGTATTATGTCTATCACACTTGACTGAACACGTGGCAAGGATAGGCTAAACCACCTTTTGTTGTCTAGGGTTACTCCATTCTCCGCTCTATAATCGTTAGGCTCTTTTGTGTAATAACACGGGAAACTCGTGATAAGGATTTTAGCCTTTGAAAAACACCGCTACATGGAATGTGGTACAGAGTCCCGGTTCTACCTAAAAAAGACCTTCAAAAGGAAGGAATTGCTTTTCTTTTGTACCTAGTTTTGTAAAGAAATGTATTTGGCTGTGGGGTTAGCGGCAGATGTTTTTTATACCCCATTAAACTGTAATCCTAATGGGGCTTCATAAACTGACTCTTTGAACTTATATTTTACATTATATTATGAAAGGATTTATTTTTGAACTAGATTATTTGTAGGGAGATGAGGTCCAAAATATTCTACTTCATTGCATGTTCAAATTTGATGAAATTTATTTCTAATTCTTCTTCGTAGATCATTTTTATTTTGGGAACTGATTGTACTCAGTAACACATAAATAAAACAGACTTCAAAAAACTTTTTAACGAACATGAATAAAAACTGTGTTTGTACTTTACATATATACTGTGTTTACCTAAAATTCTTTTCAACCATTTAAGACGTTCTTCACCTGTGAGTCATTGGTTGGGTTTGATGTCCTAGTAAACACTGTCAAAAGCCTGTCATTGTGATTGTGCACAGGATAATTAAATACTTCCGATTGGTAATTCACCTGTAATAGATTTATTTGTGTAGGTTCCCAACTATAGCTAAGTGTTTAAATTAAGACTTCATTCACGGGATATTTACTTTTATCTTAATTAATACAAATGTTTGATTTTGCTAAGGAAATGATTTTTAACCTATTTTTGTTGTTTCCAATTTGCAGAAAAGTTAGAAAAATCTAGTCATGGTTCTAATAATGAGGTAAGTTTTATTTGAGGTTTCAGAGTTATAATTAATTTAATTAGGTGTCTCTTGTGTCAAATTGCCACAAGAAAAATTCTATAATTTGCTAAAGATTTCAAGTTTATAAAGAACATGGATTTGAATTTCATTGATATATTTATTACTATGCAGATAATAGGCAGTGATATAGGTATTTAATTATTATTCATTGATGTTTGTTAAAAGTAATTCAACCGTTTAGAATCAGTAATTTTCTGGTAACATGAGAGAAAAATTGCTTTAATTGAATCATTTTGAGGTTACTTCATCATTGAGTATATTTATATAACAAGATTTTTACTCTGTTTATTTAGCCTAGTCAAGGAGTAGAGAGAGAGGAAGGAACATCAGCCTTGTTAGCAAAAAGTAAGTTTTCACTTAATATTAGATATAAATCCCATCATGTTTAGACCTCAATCAATGGTTACATGAAACATTTCTAATTTCTGAATGGATATAATCATACTTTCAAGCTTTTGCATCAAAAAGAAACTGATTTGGATAATTCTTCTTTGTATTTCAACCTACTTCTCAAGTTAAACCTGCTTTGACTTCAGTTATGATTTTATAATTTTACTTTTTAGATAAAGAACTACAGAATCAGCGTGACCGTTTTGAGCTTGAGGTGGCAACACTTCGGACAACAGTGCAAGGTCAGAAGGACCAGTTGGACATCTTGGATGGTGCATTGACCAATGCTCAATCCAACGTTGTCAGGCTGGAGAAGGAGGTAAGATATGGACCAAGTCATATTTCATCTACTTCATCTAAATGTTTAGTTTCTTTTAAATGTTTGTTTTAAGTGATAAACTTGTAAAGTTTTTTCAGTGTATTTGAAATGTGATCATGATAAGTATATTAGAAAAACATCTTCTTGTTTTAGTCTGATTACATCTATCAAAGACTATTTGTACATATTTCTGTTTCATTGCAAAGACTTAATTTGTAGACATGTTGTTCTTTAGAGATGCTGATTAAAACTTCAAATGATTTTTCAGTGTTGCGTGAAACAAGTCCAGATGGAGCGACTTGACCAGTTACAGCGTGCATTTTCATTACTACAAGCAACATGTGAGAAGCGGGAACAGATGGAAACTAAACTTAGGACAAATCTGGAGAAGAAACTTATCAAGTCACAAGAGCAGGTAAGAAGGGGAAATAACTCATTTTTTCTTTTAAGTTATTTTTCAATTATTTCCTTTAAAAATGCATTTCATCTTCAAAGCACTACTTTTATTTAAAAAATTGGATATTAGATTTGTTGTTTTCTTTTGAACTGTATTGATAAGTAAATGAAGATTGTTTCATCTGGATTGTATTTTTGTTTCTGATAGACGAGTGTACTGCCTAAAACAGAACCTGGAAAAGAGACAGCCTCAGAGATGAACAATATCTACTCCCTACAGCGACTTCTGAATGAGAAAGAAGCAAAGATTTTGCAGCTTGAGACAGAAGTTGTTAAGGTAATGAGAAATAATTCTTTGTAACTTGGCTTTGTGATTGTAAAACATTGTATTAAAAGGAATGTGATGATAGTAACCGGTATATCATTATTTTTACGGATGTTGCAATTATAGGTTAATTTTGTTTTGTCTTGTACTTACCTTTAACATTGAAATTTCAGTGGGAGCAGAAATACCTGGAGGAGAACATGCGTCAGCTAACCCTACAGAACCCTGAACTGCAGGAAGGGTGGTCGTTTGACTCTGAACCAATTCAACATACACCTAAGGTTGGCCCTGTTGAAGAAGTGTTTAGGTCACAAATCACTGAACTGGAGTCAAAGTAAGTCAATACATCAACAGCATTGATCCTTCCATTCAATCTTCATGCTGTAAAAATGTTTACTATAAAACCATAAAACCATACTGTTAGAAAAATTTTGAATTTTACAAAATTTTCTTATTAAGTAAAGGATACAAGTATATTTGTAATAAAACCATAACTTTTGTTACATTAAAGTTCCTTTTTGAGAAAAAAGTCATTTTAGTATTTATTATGATCTGTATTTAAATGTCTTTGTTTTTGGTCATCAGAGTGAAGTCCTTACAGACCCAACTGGCAGAGAAGGATGCCATGATTCGGGTGTTTCAGCGTGCACCCATGACACGCAGCAGTAGTGTACATACACTAAATTATTGTACACCACTACACTCACCTCGTCCTTCCCTTATAGCCTCGGGAACACTTACACGGCAGGGCAGCCAATCAGACACTAACAGTTATCTTCCGACGACTCGTCATTTCAAAACAGGTATGAGAAACTTTTTTAGGTGCAGTAATATCATATTAGTCATATATCTTATTGGAACGATGAAATTATATTACTCTTTTGATAAAACAGATAACGTCCACTAATCAAAACATGATTTTTAAGATTACAAAAATAGTTTCTGTTAATATTGTAAGTCACAATTAATTAAATCCTAGTCTATCAGACAAATTCCGATTAATGTTTCTCGTATATTGATAACTTTATGTATTCACTTTCAGGCAGTACAAGTGCCTTAGAGACGGGGAGAAAATTCTCTTTAGACTGCGAGAATTTGAGTGATTCCTATATCCCTGCCGATAAGAAGTCTGAGGTAAGCTTTCATTAACTGTTTCTCAGAGATATACTTGTAGATATTTCATACAGTCCTTGTGTTTATTGGTACTTCAAAAGAAACATTTAGGATAAGATACTAATAAAATAGTTTTACTCCGCGAACATATTTCACTTTGATTGAAATTGAATTTTTGTGTTTTTTTAGGATAAGGAAGATTCATCAGAAGATGAAGGAGATAAAGTTTGGCAAGTCTGAGGGGATCCAAATCCCTTATTGTACCCTTCATGCCACTGCAGGCTGGTGGGACCCAGCACCCAACTGGAGCTTGTAAACTTGTGGGAATGTTAGGGATTCCACATCCCTATTTCAACTCCAGGGTTTACCTGTCTCAGAGAGGTGGGCGTTGTAAACTGGTTGTTAAGTGTTTCCTTCAGTGATAACATATGAGGAGAGATGGGAGTTGTTGGACGATAGTTGCCCTGTTTTGCCATGTGTTGATTGATAACAAGGCAAACTCAGAGGTCATTTCTTCTAGTCCTTAGAGAAGTAGAAACTACAGCTATCCAGACTTTCGAGTGTCTAGTTACCATAGAAACTAGCCTAGCAGCTTAATCAGCTGGCCTTTTAATGTCAACAGGTGACCAGTGTACCATTGGAACATGACTAGCAACGTTTCGTTAAAATCCCTAATAACGGAAACTTGCAAAGGAGCTTTAGTAGTCATAATGATGAAATGCTTGAATTTGACAGTAAAACCTACAGGCAACATTAAACAATGTTTTTTATGAAGATCCGTGCACAGATTATAAATCAAACAATAAAATACTACATGATTTAGTGCTAGTGAGATGCATTGTATTGATAAAAAGAAGAGCTTTTGAATTCTTGACATAGATCATTCATGTGCCTGAATATTTGATTTTTTTGTACCAATTTTAAGTGCCAATGACTGATAATTTAATATTCAACAGCTGATGAAATAAAGAAATGTTCATCTTTGCAAACCTTGAAAAGAAGATGAATTTCTTTTTCCTGATCATGAAGAGAACTTCTTGTTAGTTACCAAAACCAAACCATTTACTATAATTTTTTTTTAAAGAAAGTACTGCAAATGATAAAGTAAAATTTCGTAAAAAATACGATAATGTGTAAGAAATTTCGGAGGATGGAAAATTGGAATTTTCGCAGGATAACATCCTGATAAAGTAAAACAGCCATTGAGACGTTTCGTGAAAGTTCGGAGACTTGTAGTGTAAAACACAGTTTCTGGGAACCAGATTTAGACCTTAGTTTTGTTTGTCAAGCTTTCGTGGACTTGGGATACGTCCCTCAGGATACATATCTGTGCTTGGTCACACTATGTAGACAAACCTAAGGTTGATATCTCTCAGACACTTGTGCTTTTCACTGCTGTTTCCATAAATTGATGATGCAAACATTTTAAGCATTCCAATATTGAATGGTGGTTTTTTTTCTCTTTTTATACAATCATGTTTATGTTTCCTTAACCGTTCATTGAGACCAATATGCTGAAATATGAAACAAGTTGAGCTTGTTTCCTACTATAATGTCCATGAAAATATGACTAGGAGTGACCTTCAAGGTACTTTGATTTTTTGGATTCATTGATTCGTAGGATTTTAATTATTGTCTTCCATATATCTTCAACATGAATGATGTTTTCTTTATAAGTGAATACAAGCTATATACTTCAGAGCTTTAGAAATCATTTTTGAAATGCAAAAATATCCTGCCTGCTTTCAATAATGATGGCTGATTTGAGGCACTTCAAAACAAAATCTTTCTTTGCTGTTTTTGTGAAAAAAAAGTATTAATGAATGGGGGAAGTTTATATTGAAGAATGGGTGTTTACTGGCATACTGTTTATTACTATGAGCTGTTTTCATTTACCGTTTTAAAACCAACGCTTGTTTTTGAATGAGGAATTAATTTTTGAAGCCATGCAAAATTTTGTATTGTTAATATGTCTGTTGTCAATATATGTTGAGTATGGTGTATATTTCACCATAAGGAATGAACTATGACCTTTAAACTTTGAGGTTTAACTTTTGATATTAAGCAATAGATTTCTCGGCACATTTTTGCATAACCACATTATAGTTGTTGTCATTGTGAAAATTAATTTTAGAAAAGTTTGAGTGTTTTCATCATCCAGACTGTATTGCCTTTTGTTGTAGACATTTGTCATCTTCAGCCTCAATATCATACATAAGAATTAACCTTCTCACTGCTGGCAAATCATTTGAAAATGTGTTCATACTATAAATGGTAGCTCAAATTGAGTGTTTTTAAAATGTGTTTCTTCATTCATGTTCATTTTTAAATTGGAATGTTATAATTTTTTTTTTAATTTTCCAACAAGATGTTACCAATGGTTCGCCAAAAATGTTTTCCAACTTACTTTTTGTGTAATTTGGCTATAGAAAGACAGTTGTAAATGTCAAACCTATCCCTACATCAGAAGATACTCTTGATGTTTTTATCTGAAAGAAGCCAGATATAGTATTTCAGAAGAAATGAGACTGAACCCCATAGCCTCTTACAGGCTAACCAATTTAAAAAAACATTTAAACATGCTTACATAAGCTGTGTTATACACGTTTTGAATAAGTTGTGAGTGGTACCTGGTGTTTACACCTGTTCACACCTGTTAATTAGGGTTTCATGTGCAATAATATTACACCTAGAACAGGAAATTGATATGTGGTGCTATCTTGTTGGTATGAATTATGTACAGTGTATGTGAGGTACTGACACAAACTATATGTATCTTAAATTCTTTATTTACATATAACAAAGCTAACTCTCTCCATTTTCTGTTATTAACAAAACATTTTGATGTGTACACATTAAAACACTTTCCATTTGTGGTATGTTTAAACAAGGGTTAATGTTTTAGAAGAATGATGACCTGATGATCAAGACAAGTTTTCCAAGTTGTGTTGCTGTTCAGTGAAACACAGGACTGATAAAGTAGCTTATATTTATATTGAAGCTACCTATCATCAAAATTTGCATTCAAAATTTCAGGAATGAGACTCCTTTGTTAACATTTTCAATGATCTGGTGTTAATTGTTAAATAAAACTTTTCATAAGTGTTTTAATAGTGCGTGCATGATACAGATTTACAACATAAGTGGTATCCAGGTACAATGCTAAATAAAGATCAGAAGACACAAACTAGATGTTCAAGTCTTAGGAATTTCATTTTATGAAATATTTTAAGTAATTGTAAGAAAAAAGAAAAAAGTTCTGATTAAAAATCTGTGGCAGTGAGTCATTTGATTGTAGATATGTACTGCTATTCAAGTTCAGTCATACATAACGTGTTCTACAAGGTGTGATTCTATCGGTATTGCCATACAAGCTTAAATTATTGCTTTGTTTATTAGGGTTAAGATCTACCACAGATTTTCAAAAGATTGGCAAATGTTCAAGAATTTGAGAACAGTGCGTGACAGAAATTAAATCCTTAAAAATGCAGTGAAGACTGCCAAATATCTTAAAGGCTTATTTTCTTAAATGATTATATTCAATTTAAATCTGTTTAAGTCTGTCTTGAATTTTCAGAGCTTAAAATAACATTAAATTCATTGGTATTAACATAATTTAATGATTGTTAAATAGTTACGATTGCTGTGTTATTGATGAAGAATGCTTTTTGGTTTTTAAAAGAAACGTGTTTCATCAAGCGTTTTTGATGGACTTTATTTTATTTAGAGAACATTTTATCTGAGATGATAAATAGTTCAGTTTTGAAAAGTTTTGTTTTAATGGAGTCTTTTTCTTGGCGATGTATCTGAATGAAAAGAAAATACAAGTATGAAAGCAATAGTATGATGTTAGCGAGAGAAGTGGGGAAAGAAGATAGAAAGATTAAAGCAAGAAAAATAGACAAGATGAAGAGAAATGCAGATGTATGATAGAAATATTTAAATATTTATGTTTATTTATTATATATATATATAAGCTATGATGGAGTTGTCCTACATTATACCATTGTGAAAACAATTTCCCTATTTTGTATATACACCTGTCCGAATGTGTGTGAATCCCTGTTAGCTTGGCGTTCACTCGTCATAACATGTCAGGCTAGCTAGGAATGACACACCTGTGTACAGGTAAATTTTCTAATGTGCCAAGTTTTTGTACAAAATACCTTATCAGCTGGTCTGTGATCCTCCTGTAAATATTTTGTTGATAATTTGAATGAAACCAATAAAATATGAATATTACAAGATATCTTTGTCTCTGCAGTTTTCTTTTTACATCTCTTTTTGTGAACAACTTCATCCTTATTTTGTAGCCAACTTTTCCACCTTAAGTTTATTGAAACTGGAAACCTGTCTCATTGTACACAGTGTAGAACCGATATCATCTGGAGACATTGACTTCAAGCTGTGTGAATGAAATCTTCTGAAGGGTTGCCTCATTCACACAGCTTGCTTGTTGGTTCTGACCCAATTTTTGAACTAGTATGAAATTTCCACCAAGGATTGTACAAAAGACACAAATGATCAAAGAACCGGTTCTTTAATGTTGTTTATGTTTGGAACACATGAGCAGAAAACATCCGATTATTTTGTTTACATGGATTAACGTCCTCGCAACAGCCAGGGTTATATGAGGACTGATGTGAGGAGAGATATTTGGCTGGAAGTTTCCTTTGATGAAGCAAAACAATGTTTGTTAAAAGAAATGACATAGACCCATATTCAAAGTCACTGGAGTCAAATAGGCTGAAACCTTCAAACGACTTGATGATATCTTAAAAGGTCTAGAGTAAATATTTGGCAGGTACACTAAAGGATGAGACCCATCAAAGCAAAAGGATATAACCTTCACTCATAGTCAAGGTCACAAACGACAATTAACCAAAAAGTCTATAATTATGATATTTGGCTGGTAGGTCCCTGGGAAGAAAGCCGACAAAATTACGTAAAGAATTTACTTTGACATAATGTCATGGGTTAGATATGTGAAAACCTTTAAACGACTTCTGGTTAACCAAAATGTCTAGACTCACGATATTTGGCTGGTTGACTGCTTTGATGAAGCCCCAAAAAGTTTGTTAAATAGATGAAGATTATATTTTGAAAAACAGTCGAAATAGAATAAAACTCGTCGTTGCAATCTAATTATAATCCGCCATTTAGGGTTTCTAGGTGCTGCATTGTATGCAAGTTTGATCAACTCTTTACTCTCTTCGCATCACTGATAAAAATACCGTGAGATGCAGTTTAATTATTTTTTCCCTCTTTACTCTATCGTATTCTAACTTTGTATTGAAAGGTCCTATGTTGCAACGTTTCATGTAATAACAACGCTTAATGTGAAAGCAACGCTTAATGTCATTACAACGCTTAATGTGATAACAACGCTTAATGAAGTGATTATTACATTAAGCGTTGCTACTGCTACCCTTAGAGTATTAAAACATCGTTTTTATTTCACTGAACGTTACACCTGATATGCTTGATGTAATGATTTTTTTATTACATTAAGCATTATTACTATAAGAGATGTAACCGTGGTATTCACGTCTTTTCTAAAAGTTTGTCATTGCTTAAGAAAAATTAAATCCTTCACCCTTTAATACCGTCTTAATGCTGAAATGTTTTATAAACTCAAATAAAATTGGATGATTACTTACTATGAAGATTCATTGTATCTTGCAAACTTTAAGCTTAGAAGCTTAAAATGTTTCCTTAATCGTCATTAATTCCATAGATAGATATTAATTTAGCGGGGAAGTCGGTGAGACATTGGTAAGACCTTCAGGTCCCACAGGGACATTGTAAGGATATTTCCATGTCAAATCCGTGATTAAGAAGAAAGTTTTTAAATTTCACCATTGAAAGTTGTAAGTCAGTGTTCCACCAGACTCGAGATTAAAATCATTAGCTGTCAGACATAACATAACCGGTTATATCGTGTCAATGCTTGTAGGACACAAGTCTCAAAGTGTTTATTGAAGACTGTTAATTTTAACGGCATCAGTTTTATTCATTCATTCATCTATATATACAGGTTACCTTAGATTTCGATAAATAGTAGGAAATCTATAATCATGCGTATTAATGTTAATAATATTTGCTAGTTTTCTTGTCCTGTGAACAGCAAAAGTCACTTTGATGTGGGATCTCCATGATAACAGCATGACCATCATTAGTTTCCGATGCTTGAAAAACAACACTGTCCCGGGTATAAGATCGAACCATTCGATAATCCTGTGTACCTAATGAAAACCCAGTAATCATACTTAACAATGTATGTAAGTACATCAATATGAATAAATTCACACTATTGATGCGAAGTGACAGAATGATTCTTAGAGAATAAGAACAAGGTGATGTGACAATATTTAAATTTTCACTTGGTTCCTGACCGATATCTCCTAACAACCAATAAGGAGAAGATAACTCCAATTATACATCTGACTGTTATTTATTGTTTAGGTTTTCTTCCTTGTCGTACTACATAGAAACAAATATCTGTCAAATCTTCACCTCTATGTATCTGTTAAAATTCGCACAAAGTATTTAAAAATGAAAAAAACGACAACAAATGTACTACCCTCGATACTAAAGGGGTTATAATCGTTTTCGCTCATTACACTCCTGGTACATGTCATGGCAAAATTGAAGGCACACACGAAGTAATTTGATTGGTTCAAAGAAAAAAGTGGCTGATACGACACTTTTGAAGATTAGAAAGAGAGCGACACCCAACATCAAAGTCATAACAATATACCTTTATACGACTTGATGTACATCGGAGAATCTAACTTGTCTTTTCAGCATGCCAACAAGGTGCTGGACACGGAGTTTTCAATTTTACCATGACAGGCTTCGGGGTTGTAGAGAGCGAAAGTGATCATAACCCCTGGAGTATCGAGGATGGTTCCAGGGGTGTAGAGAGTGAAAGTGATCGTAACCCCTGGAGTATCGAGGATGGTTCCAGGGGTGTAGAGAGTGAAAGTGATCGTAACCCCTGGAGTATCGAGGATGGTTCCAGGGGTGTTGTGAGCGAAGGTGATCGTAACCCTGGAGTATCGAGGATGGTTCCAGGGTTGTAGAGAGCGAAAGTGATTGTAACCCCTGGAGTATCTAGGATGCCAAGATACACACGAGTATTAGCCGTTTTTGTCGAAAATAGTCTCATCCATTACTATGATTAAAAAGCACTTGTTCAGTGTATATTAAATGTGCCGTTTAGCTCCTCGATGAAACTGCAGTAAATGGTTTCATTCCCCACACTTGTCTCGTCCATTTAAAAACCAATTTGCAGATGGCGGTTAAAACTATTATTTAACCATTGGAGTATCGTTTTGTCAGTGTAATATCATTCGCATCCTCGATACTCCAGGGATTACGATTACCTTCACTCTCTACACCCCTGAAACCACCCTCGATACTCCAGGGCTTACGATCACCTTCACTCACAACACCCCTGGAACCACCCTCGATACTTTAGGGCTTACGATCACCTTCACTCATAACACCCCTGGAACCATCCTGGATACTCCAGGGCTTACGATCACCTTCACTCACAACACCCCTAAAACCATTCTCGATACTCCAGGACTTACGATCACCTTCACTCACAACACCCCTGGAACCATTCTCGATACTCCAGGGCTTACGATCACCTTCGCTCACAACACACCTGAAACCATCCTCGATAATCCAGGGCTTACGATCACCTTCGCTCACAACACACCTGGAACCATCCTCGATACTCAAGGGCTTACGATCACCTTCACTCATAACACCCCTGAAACCATCCTCGATACTCCAAGGGTTACGAACACATTCACTCACAACAACCCTGAAACCATCCTCGATACTCCAGGGAATACGATCACCTTCACTCACAACACCCCTAGAACCATCCTCGATACTCCAGGGCTTACGATCACCTTCACTCACAACACCCCTGAATCCATCCTCGATACTTTAGGGGTTACGATCACCTTCGCTCACAACACCCCTGAAACCATCCTCGATACTCCAGGGCTTACGAACACATTCACTCACAACAACCCTGAAACCATCCTCGATACTCCAAGGGTTACGAACACATTCACTCACAACAACCCTGAAACCATCCTCGATACTCCAGGGAATACGATCACCTTCGCTCACAACACCCCTAGAACCATCCTCGATACTCCAGGGCTTACGATCACCTTCACTCACAACACCCCTAGAACCGTCCTCGATACTCCAGGGGTTACGATCACCTTCACTCTCTACACCCCTGAAACCACCCTCGATACTCAAGGGCTTACGATCACCTTCACTCACAACACCCCTGAAACCATCCTCGATACTCCAGGGCTTACGATCACCTTCACTCTCTACACCCCTGAAACCATCCTCGATACTCCAGGGCTTACGATCACTTTCACTCTCTACACCCCTAGAACCATCCTCGATACTCCAGGGCTTACGATCACTTTCAGTCTCTACACCCCTAGAGCCATCCTCGATACTCAAGGGCTTACGATCACCTTCACTCTCTACACCTCTGGAGCCATCCTCGATACTCCAAGGCTTACGATCACCTTCACTCACAACACCCCTGAAACCATCCTCGATACTCCAGGGCTTACGATCACCTTCACTCACAACACCCCTGGAACCATCCTCGATACTCCAGGGCTTACGATCACCTTCACTCATAACACCCCTGGAACCATCCTCCATACTCAAGGGCTTACGATCACCTTCACTCATAACACCCCTGGAACCATCCTCGATACTTTAGGGGTTACGATCACCTTCGCTCACAACACACCTGGAACCATCCTCGATAATCCAGGTCTTACGATCACCTTCACTCATAACACCCCTGGAACCATCCTCGATACTCCAGGGGACACTCAACTTCAAAGCCATTTCAATATACCGTTTTGCGACCTCGAGATTCGTTTGCTTACATCAATGGACCAACCCAGCCATCTTGTCTTATCTTCAAGGCGTTGCACATGAAACAATTAATTTTGCCATCAAATGTTCCCGGGGGCAGAGGGTGATAGTGAGCATAAGTCTGGAATATCGAGGATGTTTTCGTTGTAAAAAAACTTTTTTTGGTCATCATTACTTTTTAGACAATGGACGAATAAATTCGGTACATTTTCATTACTACAGTAAAAATCACACGATATTTTTTTTGTTATAATCATGAAGTACAATGTATATAATCACATACATAAAATAGATTGACGAAGTCTAGCG